AAATAAAATGAAAGCGGATGTGTGCCAAACGTCAGTGACGCTCCTTACGCACGTTTGTTTTCATTTTCAAGTAGGGTTGATTACAGGAGAGAAGAAAAGAGTATAGAGTGATTTAAGTTTATGTTTTTTCAGGTTCTGAAAGCCAAATATACTGGTCATATAAGTTGCAGAGTGTGTTATGAAAAGTCTTTAGCAGGGCAGGATTGTGAACGGAGAACAGAAAGTCTGTGGCGTCTACAACAATATGTAACAGAGCACTAAGGTGTCAAATAAAATGTCAAAGAGATAAATGTATAATTTATTTATCCCATCAATTAAACATACATTTCCCATTCATTCCCAAACAGGACTCAAAACATATTTTACTAATATTCCAGCTGCACATGAGACCTATCAAACCAAAGGTGCGAGCAAATAACACTACCGTCACACCCAGTTTAGAGACACTGCAATCAATTTACCACTGGGCACGCACTGCAAACAGTTCTGGTCTCAGCACAGCTGGGAATCAGCGGTATGCGTAACCTGCAGTCTGGATTTATAAAAGGGAAGTGGCACAAATTAATAAACGAAAAGATAAAGATAACAACGAGAGAGGTTAGTCCGCCCTTCATTCATAACAGTCTTTACGGCTGGACGGACTAACCAAAGGAAATTACAAATCAACCAAAAGAACAACTAAAAATTAACTGCAGAGGAATCACAACAACAGAATATTGATCGATTTCCGCGTGCGCAGTCGATCTACAGCTTGAACACCATTAAAACGTGTCGTCACACGAACAACATACCCACTCGCACCAGAGTGAGTTAATTGTCTCTGGAACTTCCTCACCGAGGAGCGCTGACCTCACCTCACACACCTACTACCTTTTCAAAGTTCCTCTGCCAATCACACGGCAGAAAGCAGCAAACTGCCAGGTGACACTTGTTCCAAATAGAAACTCTACGCCGCCTATAGGTGATACTCGTAAACTACAGCTTCCACTTTGGGTATTTTTTTCTCTTTACCGAGGAAAATGAAAGCGGCTGCCACGTGAGTGAAGAATGGGCGCAGGTATGAATGAGCAGGTGTATTTACCTTGGTTCATTGCATCATTGCGTCATTTCATGTGGCCTGCATTTAGCTTTTTTAGCAGTTTCTTCATTATTAAACAGCTTGCACTTCTGCTGTAAATCAGTTGTGATGTATTTGTGTTAACCTCATGTAACCGGTAGTGGAGGGCAAACCAGGAGTATTTATCTGCTCCGATTCTGAATGAGTCTGAAATAATAATAACTGAAAAAAGCCCCCCTCAGCAAAACAAAACAAACAAACAAGAAAAGCAATCCAGCACATGTAGTACTTGCAATGACGTTATCGTTAACATATATCTGACCTGTGATCTGATCACTTTTGTTTCATCACCTGTTCATGCATGTGGGTCCACCGTCTGCCTGCCACATGCCCGTTTCTTGACAATAATAGATGAAAATGTCCTCAAAGCAGCATTAATATCCCTGTAACACGTTTCCTGTTTAGTATCAAAACGTAAGCCTATACACGATTTGGTTACAAATTAAATCATCCGTCGTGAGTTGAGTTTGTCGTCATGTTTCTTAGGTGGTCAAATGGATGTGTATGTCCAGGAATCCTCATAATGAGGTCAAACCCTCATACATCATGATATCTTATCTTCTTTAAGATATATTGTTAAGTGTGGGATATTTTTTTTATAGACGGAAATTTAAATCCCACGTGTACGACATTACAGCTTGTTGTACCTGCGGGTTTCCCAGGTATATAGAAAATGAGATATTTTCGCTCTGCTATAAATGCGGCGCTGCAGGTCTGCTCCATCAGAACACCGGGAGACATCCGAGTTTGCTTCATACAAAGGAAGTTTATACCTTTAAAAAAATGATGAACAGGATTCTCTTTGCTTGCCTGTTTCTCGCTCTGTCCACTGAAAGCTCCTCGCTAAGCTGCAGATGGATGGATCATAAATTCAGACAGCACAACGAAGAAACTCTGAATCTGCTTGATACCATGGTGAGTGTTTTAATGTTTTAATATTAGTTGATTCGTTATTTAAATAGTTTTAGAATTATTTCACTTGAGCATCTGATGACTAAAACATTCAATGTGTTGCAGGCTAAAAACGCCACTAACACCAGTGAAGTGGAGGTCACCGTGGCCTTCCCTAATCACCTGTATCACCAGGTGTCCAAATCATCAGTAAGTGAACCTCAGCTTTTGCCTATTTATAGAAAAAAAACATAATTTTCCCTTAGGACAGATTAATTTTGTCTTTTAAATCCACTCTTATTATTATTAAAGCATTTCTAAAGTGGTCTGTGTTTGATCTTCTTCTTCTTCCAGGCTGAGGATAAACTGGCTTTCAGTGTTCAGATTCTGGAGGAGGTGGCTGCCCTGTTTGAGGAGGATCACAGCGCTGCATCATGGGAGGACAGCACAGTGAGGAACTTCCTCAATATTGTCAACAAACAGGCTGAAGAGCTTCACTCCTGTGTAAGTTCACTTTCAGTTAGGTTTTTATTACATTCAAA